GACAGCAAGTATGCTGTAGTCGGCAATCATTCGTTTTGGTACAGAGTGGGACAGGTAGGGGGTGATGTTGCTGTAGTCGAACGGTGAGACGGACGTGTAGTTCAGTTTTGGGCACGCGTACGGTGCTGCAGGGATTATATATAGGTGTAGTAGTACCTCTTCGGGCTCTTGGATACCTTTTTCTTGCTACGTGTGCGTGTTCTTTATTTAGATCCTCAGATAGATGGCTCTAGCACTTTCGTGACCACGGGCTGAGAGTCTTTGCTAGATTTTGGCATTTAGCAACTGGCATACGGTTTAATGTGAAGTCAACAACAACAACAACAACATGTTCGGGTATCTGAAATAAGGATACAACAGTTTAGTACTAGTAGAGTTTCGTACTCGTACGATGGGCGCACACCAAAGCCCTGGGTTTCTCCCTCACCTTGTTGATCTTGCCGTCGCCCTCGACCTCCATCGCGGTCTTGCCGCTACCATTGCTGCTCCTCTGATTCTTGGCGATAGCTGCACCTCCCCCGGCGGGTGTTTCGTTTGCTGATCGATTGGTGACCGCCTTGGGCAACTTTCGTCGTTTCCCCTTCGAGCTGCTGCTCTTCGCCTTGGCTTTGCTGGCGTTGGCATTCTTGGGGCTTGTTGCCGCCACGGACCCCTCCTCCTGCTTGTTGCTAGAAGGTGCCACCATCTTGACCGCGTGCCGCAATTCCTGTGCGTATGTGTAATATTGCCCTGCGAATGATGGTCGATGTAGGGTGTCGCTCATGGGTGGCCGTAGGAGGCGGAGATGTACAACCAGCAGCAGCCGATTGTTCGTGCGCAAAGACTTTTGTCAACCGAAAGCTTCCTGGATGGACCCACGCAAAGACATACCCTTCCTCTGGGTAGTCCTGGCCGTGTGCGCTACTGCTGTAGGTAGCGGCGGAGCGGGAGCTGGCCCAGTGTGTGTTTTGTGACATCGTCGCTCCCACTTTGCTGCTGCAAACCTTATCAATCTCCCAAATCTTCGGTTTCCGGAGGGGGGAGTGATATTCGTTCACGTGCCCCCCGCCCCTTGTCGCGGACGAGAGTCTCGCGGACAGCAGACCAAGCACGCGCTAAGCCACCTGCTGCACTTGGCACCGAGTGAAGCACTCCGACACGTTCGTGTCGGTGAGTAAAGGAGTATTGGCAGATCCTATTGTGTTGGCCGTGCTCGCTGCGGGGATCGCGCAGCAGAGAGATATACCCCCAGCAAAAGGTGGTAAATCGCTCCTGGGGACAAAAACGTAGAACGTGCGGTGGTCTCAGGGGACAAACATCAACAACCGGCTGAGAGGCAGACGGCCGCCCGCAGTCGCGTCCCAGAGCTACCGAATACAAGGCACGGGCCACACGCGTCGTCCGAGAACATGAGCCACAAGCGGTCGCCCGCGGTGGCATGCCCCGCGGCAATGGTGACGACGGTTTGCAGCACCCTGCTGCTGCTGTCCACATGCTCCCAGCAGTGCGAGGGCTTCGCCCCACCGCTGAATAATTGCAACAGCCACAGCAACAACAGACAGCTCTTGTCTGCCTCCGCCTCCCGGACAGCGCTGGTTGGCGTCAACAACGCCTGCAACCCGCCGCGCTTGCTTGCGAGGGGACCACGGCAGCAGCAGCAGCAGCAGCAGCAGCAGCAGCAGGGCGCGTTGTTCCCGAGGCTGTCCGCTGCGGCTGGCGACGGGGACGCTGCCACTACTGCTGCTCCAGCTCCCGCCGCCGATTTCCAGGATCCGCTGCTGGGCGCGCCCGATGCTGTTGTGGCCGAGGGGAGCAAGGCCGCCGCTCCCAAGAAGAGGAAAGCGGCGCCCAGGAAGAAGGTGTGAAGCAGGATTGTCAACAACACCCATCATGAAAACATTGGAAACATGAGCTGCGGCTGTCGCCAGAATCTTTCGCGCGGGAGGCGGGCAGACATGTTATCATGATCGGCTTATGACTGAGTCACATCTTGAGCATCTGCGATGTAGAAGTACTTACTATCACGCAAGGAACACAGCAGTAGCAGCAGGTTAAGGGATTGGGCATTGAAATAAGCGAAGGGGCGGGTTGTGTCCTGTCGGAACCGCGAGGTGTTGCATTATTTGGCTCAGATGTAGAAACCCATGTACTGCTTCTATTGGTCACGTTTGATACCCATGTTCCGCTTTTCGAAGGAGGGCTCGATTGCTCCATGTCGAACAGGATGTTGAAATCAAACGATTATTTGGGGAACTCCCCAAGATGCGGTTCCAATGCCAACATTTTCGCTATCGCTACTATCTACGCTCTGTTCTCTTTCTTATGTTTGACCCGCGCCCCACGCGATGCGTTTTCCTCCCGCGGCCACGAAAATTGGCGGAATTTTCTTTGAAATCCCACCACCTACGGACCTAACTAACACAATGCACGTCTGGTATGGCACGAAGAAAGTAAGGATAATGACCCAGTTCGCGGTCCACCCTTTCTTCAAGTATGTGAACCATGGCATCCATCGGCGGATCCCCGGCATACCGATCGCTCCGCCCCGGCAACGCGTTTCCAAGAGTACAGCCCCCCCGGTCTCGCTCTAGGGGGTGCGGTATCTAACGTCACTTGTCTAACGACGGCGGCATGAGTACAGCCCCCCCC